CGAGGCCACCTGCTGCACAACGCTGATGGCAGGTGGGGTTGCAGAGTTTGCGGGGTGAACGCTGCTCGACGGAGTGCGGTCATCCAGAATGAGTGTCCTGGCAAGCCGAGGGTGCTTGCGCGGACGCACGAGTCGCACCGCATGTGGGTGCTAGGCTCGGACCTGTATTTCTGCATGCAGTGCGGTTGCCACGCGCGGAGGCAGGTCAAGGACCTGGCCGCGCGCTGCCATCGTGTTGCAGGGACTGGGAAGATAGGGGCCTTGAAGTACATGCGCCAAGGCATTGACCCCACATCCAAGGTGTTGGTGGGGCGCCCCTTCCCAGTCCACTAATTATCCCCCCACGGGCCAGTCTTTCATTGAGGGATTGTGTCCGCAGAGGCTCCAGAGGCTCCAGAGGAGGAGGAGGAAAGGGAGGGGGAGGAGGAGGAGGAGGAGGAGGAGGAGGAGGAGGAGGAGGAGGAGGAGGAGGGAGGAGGAGGAGGAGGAGGAGGAGGAGGAGGAGGAGGGGAGGGGGAGAGGAGGAGGAGGATGAGGAAGAGGAGGAGGAGGAGAGGAGGAGGAGGAGGAGGAGGAAGAGGAGGAGGAGGGAGGAGGAGGAGGAGGAGGGAGGAGGAGGGAGGAGGAGGAGGAGGAGGAGGAGGAGGGAGGAGGAGGAGGAGGAGGATGAAGAGGAGGACGAGGGAGGAGGAGGAGAGGAGGAGGAGGAGGAGGAGGAGGAGGAGGAGGAGGAGGAGGAGCGCCCGACCACGAGGGGAGTGATCCGATCCGCACCTGCACAAGAGAAAGAAGGGGAGTCAGGCGAAGTCGGGATCCTCATCCACCTCCTGACCCGCCCTCTGCCTCTCCCCCACCTTCAGTCCCAAGGCCTCGGCGGCCTCCACCGTGAGGGCCGTGCAGCGCCGGCGGCCGCTGCCAGAAGGTGGCTGGCGGGGGCTGCGGCCGTGCCGACGATGCCTTCGGGGCCTCGCTTTTCGCTGGCCCCTGGAGGCCCGGAGGCCCTGGGCCCATGCGGAGAAAGAGGGCTGCCACTCAGCCCTGACTTCCAAGGAAGGGGCTCCTACATAGGCAAGCGTAAAGCCTTTAGGATTACGGTGCCCAAGATATACTCCAGCTCGTAGCTTGCTCAGACAGAAGCACCGACCACCCGTGACGACAGGACGACGCGACAGCCGAAGGTTCCCCCGTTTCGAGCTGGTGTGCGCCATGCGTCCGCAAGCTACACAGATCAGCGTGCTATCGTGGAACGTTTCACGATCCGCTTCGAACGCATTCGCTTGCTCGAGAAAGTGTCCTAGTTGCCTCCATGCTCCAGGCACCGCGTGGGCCTCTGGGGCAGGCGGGCCATCCTGGGGGACGGAGGGAGGCGCAGCAGCAGCAGCAGCAGCCCCCTCGGACCCCACGCAGGATGAGGGGATGGGAACCCCAGGGATGGCCTCAAGCGAAACATAGTTAAAACACTCCAGGCCCTGGTGGTCCTGCGTCGCCAGAGCCCTGCACTCAAACTGCTGCGCGGCGCAGAACAATCCGAGCCGACGAGCCAGCTCCGAGCATCCCAAGACCCTGTGCCTATCTTGCTCAGGTGCACGAAAATGGGCAGCCCCACCTTTCGCGAGCCTGTCTGCCTCAGCGCTGCCGAAGAGGAGGCTTCTTGTTTTATGTTCGAGGGTGAGGATGGTTCCCACCAAGCGGCCAGGTCCTGCCCCTCCTGATCCCAGGTCTGCCCTCCGACGTGTGGTGGCCAACCTCAGAGAGGAGGAGGAGGAGGAGGAGGAGGAGGAGGAGGAGGAGGAGGAGGAGGAGGAGGAGGAGGAGGAGGAGGAGGAGGAGGAGGAGGAGGAGGAGGAGGAGGAGGAGGAGGAGGAGGAGGAGGAGGAGGAGGAGGAGGAGGAGGAGGAGGAGGAGGAGGAGGGAGGAGGAGGAGGAGGAGGAGGAGGAGGAGGAGGAGGAGGAGGAGGAGGAGGAGGAGGGGGAGGAGGAGGAGGAGGAGGGAGGAGGAGGAGGAGGACCACGCTCCTCTGGTCTCGGGCGGGCCCAGTGCGGGCCACGAGTCGGGCTCAGATTGAAAAGCGCCGAGTGTCGGTGGACCAGGGGGAATCCTCTCGCCAGCGGGAGATGTCTCCGTGGCCTGCTGCCTCTCGGTGGTGCTCAGTCTGCTGGGCCGCCGTGCGGCCAACTTGAAACTGGTTCGGTCACAAGGTGACCAAACAAAAAATCAGCGTTGCCGAAACGCCAGGGATCTGGAATCCTGCCTTCCCTGGCGTCACTCATCGACGCACTCGCAGGAATCTTGACAACGTTCACCCCGTCCAAGCGATCGCCCAGCTCGGCCCGCCAGTGGACCCTGGTAGACCTGGGGCCACCCGCGCCTCTGAGGTTTCGGAGGCAGCCGACCGTGGCAGCACAGTCGATGTACAAAGAAACGTCGGCCCCCAGGACCACCTTCTCAGATCGCACGAGGACCGCGAAGTCTTCCCCGTCGCGCGCCAACTGGCCTGGCGCCTCGCTGCGGGGAACACGCCCAAAAACAGCGGCCAAGGTTCGGCCTGCTCTGTCCAGAACAACCACGGCCCAGCCAGCCGCGCGCGCTCCAAGCATGCTGCCATCGAGCCCCGAGCCGTCCGTAAACGCGTGGCCCCCCCTCGGGGATGAAAAAATGGCCCATCCTGCGGCCGTTGAAAGTGGCGAGTGCGCGGGCCGTGCGGGTGCCGCGGGGGGCCTCGAAACGCAGGGCGTGGGGTCGTGGAGCTTGCGCCCACTGAACAATTCCCTAGCTTCGCCCGTGACATGGCCGAATCCCCGAACGGCGTCGGACGCGACGGGATCCAGGTTCTCGCGGCGCCACGCGGAAAAAACACAACATGATAATCTCCGATTGAACACTGCCAACAGGATCTCCGCACAGCTTGGATTGCTTATCAGTCTTTGGACTGTAAGCCTAGGTGCGGGCCCGGGACCAGCGCGCATTGGCCACTGGCGCCGACAAGGCTGCCTTGTGTCCTCTGGACCAGCAGTCCGAAGTTTTTCTATTTAGCAATTGGTGAAAAAGAGGGTCCAATGCACGAGGCCACTCCGCTCCTTAGAGTCGTGCTGCTTCGCTTGCTCCTCGCGCTCGATCGCTCTCCGTACGGCGCTGCGCGCGAGGTCATTGAAACACCCAGGAGAACGCCGCTCAACTGACCAGGCCTTTCCTCGATCACCCACCGAGGGGGGGGTCTCCAAATCGAACCTCCAGTTGATCCTGGCCAGGAGCAGGAAGAGGGCAGCCGCGGGCTGGCGGACCTGACCTCGGGGATTTCTATGGGTGTGGACCGCCTGGGCGTCCTCGACGCGGGATTTCAGCACTGCTTGCGAAATCGACTTGGCCCAGAGCACTCCAGCGAATTCTTTTACAGCCGAGGCGATCACCACCGCGGGCGGACCCTTAATCCAGAGACGAGAGGACGCCGCGATACGAACCCCCGGGAAGTCCCAAGGGGCAGGATGCCCCAAGACCTGACTGCTTGGATCCGCAGCTCGTGGAGGCTCGCCAGGGGTATTCCTAAAATGTGTGATCCCCACATGGCCCTAGCGAGAGGTCCTAATCGAAAGACGCGGCCAGGCTGTTCACTCTGCCCCAACCCGCGGAGCGCGGTACCTTGAGCCGCGCCAGCCGCCAGGAGCTGTGCCTGCGAGCCGACATGTCGGACGCTGCCGTCGTTGGAGTCGCCGCCGAGGTCGCGGCGCGCGGAGACCAGCTGGTCGGTCCCGGGCGTCCACCTCGAATCGTCGAGTTGGTAGCAGAGCCCGGTCCGAGATCATGAAGCGGGTCTTGTCCCAATTGATCGGCAGCTGCCTGGCCTTCGGCTCCGGCGTGGCCACCTCGAAGCTCTGCGGGGTGGCCTCCGCAACTGTAGCTGGCCCTCCGATCGCGTGCGTGGTCGGGCCGTCCACCGCGTTGATCGCGCGACAGGGCCTCGTCTCCACCGCGGTCCTCCGAAGCAAGGTGATCATGGTCAGCTTGGCCACGCCAGTCGCAGCGCTGCAGCCGGCCACTATCGTGCCGTTGGGCTGGCCGAGGCGACTGGTGCCTCCTGTCCGCCTCGCCCTGCGCGGGGCTCTGTAGAGGCAGCGCAGCGCCCTCGGCGCGCCTCAGTCGAAGGCGAAGTGCTCGCCTGTCACGTAGCTCCTGGTGGCTGACGTTCTCGTGGGACTTCCGAATGACGAAGAACGCAGTGAGGGGCGAGAGCCCATGCCGTCTAGCACGGCATGACATCGTGTTATGCAAGTGGGCCGCCTTGTCGCAACTCGAGGCCGTGTCCTTGCCCCGGAAGAAGCTCGCGTCGACCGTGGCCTCCCACTTCTTACCATGTGCACGCCTCGCCCGACTCCGAATCCTGGCCCAGAAACACAGGGGGCCGATGGGGCGGGTGCCTCCGTCCGCCTTGGGTAGGGAGACGCTGGTGGTGACCCGCGAGTTGGCGCGAGTGGGCTGCTTCTCCCACTTCGACAGAATCTGTGCGAGCCTGGTGACGAAGGCCCTGTCCGAGAACGCCGCCGATCGCACGTGGAAGTTGTCCCAGCCTTCGCCCGTCGACGGCCCGAAGGACTTGCGGGCGTCGGACGCCTGGTCGCCGATCGGGCCTAGCGCCCAGACGCGCGGCGCTCCAGAGGAAAGCGACCGCGCCGACTCCCCCGTGGTGGCCGAAGACCCCGAGGCAAGACGGCGAGAACAGGTTCGTGTCCACTGGTGCGCCGCTGGATCGCTGGCCTTGGCCAGCAGCGTCTCCTGGGTGCGCGGCGCGTCGGGCATCCCAGGGACCTGCTCAACCCATGGCATAGTCGATCTGTTCCTTGGCCACGTGTTGGCGTTGTGCGCGCCCGCCGAGAACGCGGCCAGGTCGTTGTCCATGACCGACGGTAAGCACTCAGAGAGAAAGCGATGGCCCGCTTCTCCGACGCGACATTGCCAACCAACACATCTGAAGAAAGTGCAGAAGGGGCCGTCGCAGGCCGTTCCATCAGGGGTACTCGGAGCCGTTACTGGACACGTCGAAGCTGAGGATCCAGTAGGCGGCACCTGGGTCGAACACTCCGAGGTCGACGCACCCGCCAGGGCCTGCAGCCCACCTCGCTGAGGCCCAGCTTCGCGAACTTGGGGCCCCAGCTCCCCCGCTACCTCCGCCAAGACGGTCGCGGCCCTGCTGGGCCTGCCCCATCGAGCGCGCCCCCCCCGCAGGTGCCGCCGCCATCTCCACTGTGGCCTCCCGACTCTGCCTTGACCATTTCATGCAGCAGCCCGCGCGCCCGCTGCCAGATGCAGGCGGCGCGTGGGTGGGAGGTCGCGGGTGAGGGGCTAGGATAGGTGGCAGCTTCAACCTCTGTGGGATTCGGCCCGCAATCCTTCTGCCCGCGCGCGTCGACGAAATCGTAAGCTCTTCCTGACGCCGAGCGGCCAGGCTGGCTAGGCACCATGCTGAGCTCGCCGACGAGGAAGGGCGCCTTGCTAAAGACGCCGTGGAGCAGCGTGGGCGCGGCGGATTTCCTCGTCTGCTGCCGGCCGCGCCTCCTTCGCTGGTCTCCCTCTTCTTGCCCTCGGGCCGAGCCATGTGCTGGCATTGCCCCTCCATGGCGGCCTGTGCCTTCTCCGAGGCACCCTTGAAGGTGCTGGTGATGGCGGTCTGGATCTCCTGAGCGGCCCCCTGCTTCCGCTGCTCCAATTCTTCGCGATCCTTGGCCTCCAGGTCGTAGCCGTCCAGCACGTTGCCTGTGCCGAGGAAGTCGCCCACCGTGAAGATCTGCTCCGGCTGAATCCTGCTCTGCACCCGCTCGCGAATACTGATGGTAGGTGGCGCCGCCGCCACTGGGGTGGAGCCGACGTGGATCTCAGCCTGCGCCTGGTGTACTTCCGCGTCGGCCTCCGCAACTGGTGCTGAAACTCCGCGATGCTGCCGACAAGTTCCTCGACCCCTTTGCGCCACTTATCCAGCTTGTCCAGTTCAGCACCGAGCTTCTTTTCCAGGGCGGTCTGACGCTGCTCAGCGCGCTGCCCCCTCTGACGAGCCGTCGGTGCCTGGGGGGGCGCTGTAACCCTCGCAGCCAGTGCTTTGTAGCGCTTGGCGCCCTCTGCATCGCCAGCCTCCTCAGCCAAGGTGGCCAGCTCCTTTGCACTTGTCGAGGGGCAGGATGGCCACAGGCCCAGGCAGAAAAGGCTGCCTGGTCGGACGTGCTCGGGTCGGTGCCCTTGCCACGTCCTCCTCCACGGCCTCTCCGCCCGAGTTTGCCACCTTTCCCTTCTCCCTTGGCGCCTTTGTCTCCGTCAATCTCGGCTGTGCTGCGCCTGAAGGAACTTCCGCAGTGCTTGCAGAAGAACGCGCCTTGGGGATTCTTGCTGCAAGAGGAGGAGGATAAGGAAGAGGAGGGGGAGGAGGAAGAGGAGCAGGAGGAGGAGGAGGAGAAAGAGAAGGAGGAGGAGGAGGAATATGCACACGCACAACGCCCAAGCGAAACCAGAGCACCCTGGGCCAACGCGCAGCGTATGAACACGCACGTATTTGAACACGGCACGCGCTGCGTTTCAAAACGGGCGTATCAGGGCAGCTATGTTCAGGAGGAAGCCAGGGCGGCATGGCTCCCGAAAGGGGTCGGCCGCCACTTTGGGGCAGCAGAAAATACAGACGGACGGAAATGCTGAACGGGCTATGCACTACGAGGGGCGCGCCGAACTCTGCGCGGCGCTGGGGGCGAGGTCGGCAATTCGCTCAGTCGCGCGCCAGGCGCGCCACCTTTTTCGCTCCTGCCACGCGTTTTGTAGTGTCGAACACAAGGCGTTCGCTTTCGGAGAAGTGAGCGGCGAGGCTTGAGAGGGTCGAGTGGAACCGCCCTCTTGTGGCCCCTGCCGAGGCGGGAGCGAAGAGACCGCAAGTGTGGAGCAGTCAGGACAGCGAGCAGGGGAACGAACCTGAGCAGGAACATCATCGGGATACTGAATACCACCATCCTCTGTTCTAGCAGGCGGAGAAGCATGTTTTTTCAACCTTCGCTGCGGGGTAGTTCTAAGCCGCGGAGGCTTCGTCGGAGCCCCTTGTCTCCGCCAGGGGCGCTGTCGATGCCGACGCGGCTCAGGCGGAGAAGGAGGACGAGGAGAAGGGGGAGGAGGGGGAGGAGGAGGAGGAGGAGGAGGAGGAGGAGGAAAATAATGTCAGAGGAGCGAGGAGGCAGTTAAGGACGGGGGTAACGAGGACACATAAGATGCTAATGCGGATGATGATGCTGATGTTGATGCTGATGACACCGGTGATGACGATGCTGAAGACGATGATGACGATCATGATAAAGATGACGAGGAGGATGACGATGATGATGACAATGATAACGATGATGAGGAGGACGACGACGACGACGATTACGACGACTATGATGCTGCTGATGATGATCATCATCATGATGCTGGCGATGATCGTGATACTGACGATGATTGTGATACCGACGATGATGATGCCGATGATTATGATGATGCTGATGATGACGATAGTGCTGATGATGACGACGATGACGACATTGATGATGATGCTGCTGATGATGACGATGATGGCAATGATGACTATTATGATGATGGAGATGATGGGGATGATCATGATGGTGCTGATGGCGACGGCACCGACGATGCTGCTGTTGCTGTTGCTGCTGTTGCTGATGATGATGATGATGATGATGACGATGATGATGCTGATGATGATGCTGCTGATGATGCTGATAACGATGATGATGATGATGATGATGATGATGATGATGATGATGATGATGATGATGATGATGATGATGATGATGATGATGATGATGATGATGATGATGATGACTAGCAGGAGGAGGAGGAGGAGGAGGGAGGGAGGAAGGGAGGGAGGGAGGGAGGAGGAGAAGGAGGTATGGAGGGAGGAAGAGGAGGACGAGGGAGCCACGACGCGGAGCCGCTGGCGAATGCCCCTTGTGCCGGCGCAACTGGCGGAGGCAGGGCCCGCTGGCACGCGCGCAGGGGGGCGGCCGAGAGGGCAGCGCAGGAGGCCGGCGCTGGTGCCTGCGGCGCCGCTCGCCGAGATCGACGACGACGACGACCACCACGACGACGACGACGACGACGACGACGGCGACGACGACCCTGGGCATCCCTGGCTCCGGCGACGCTCGGACGAGAGCTCACCATCTTCGGCACCGGCAGGCGCTGCGCCGCTCCAGGGGCGCTGCGGCGATGTCCCCGGCAGGCGTCGCGGCGCCATCCCCGCAGCGGGTCTGCTCCGTCCCTGGGCGCTGCCGTGCCGCCACGGCGCGCGCCCCCCTCACTCACTCGCTCGCAAGGCGGACCTGGTCGCAGACCTTTTGGACGCCCGAAATGTGTACGGAAAAATGGGTACAATGCCCAGCAGCAAATGTTGTCCCAAACCAACAATGGCCGCTGTTGGGCAGGCGGCCTTCTGTCTCAAATGGACACAGGCCGCGGCGGCGCGGACAGCGAGTCCTGTTCAAAATGAACAGGAACTGCAATTGGGCATCGTACCCATTCTTTCCGTGCCCATTCCGTTCTTGCAGAGACCTGAAGCTAGAGGAGAGAGAACTATGCACATACACCGCTTCTGGCCAGGCCCATCCTGAGCCCAGGATCGGTGCACACGCCCTCCTACCTTGGCCAGGAAGGTAAATGCACCGATCCTGGGTCGAAGACGGACGTTGTCAGGATCGGTGCCCGTGCATAGTTCTCTTCGCCCGAGAAGCCATCCCCGGCCCTGCCCCGAGAAGTGTACAGGGGCGTAGGGCTGGTTTTGAAAGGTGGCGCCACCAAGCGCGCCCCCCTCCTTCCCCCCCCCTTCCCCCTCCTGATCACTCTATTCATCCTCTCCCCCTTCCCCTCTCGTCCCCGTTGCCTGCAATGTTCTCGTGCCCGCCACTGCCTGCAACGCCGAGCAGCCGCGCTTCGCACCCGGGCCGCCTGGCCGCGAAACGACCTGGAGGAGGAGGAGGAGGAGGAGGAGGAGGAGGAGGAGGAGGAGGAGGAGGAGGAGGAGGAGAAGGAGGAGGAGGATGATGAGGAGGGGGAGGGGGAGGGGGAGGAGGAGGACGAGGCGGCGGCGGCGTCTCGAGCCCCTGCGCTGCCCTGGACGCGCGGGCTCGATCTGGGCTCGGGTGGCGCTGCGCCAGCACGACTCCCGAGCCAGAGGGGCGACCTTGTGTACAGGGGCCCGCCGCCGCCGGGGGAGCTGTTGGCATGCCACCGGCGTGCTGCAGAGAGTGTGGAATGCGTTGGTAACGCTCGCTCTGCCATCCTGCCTCAACTTCGCACTTGCCTGCTACCTGCCTGTGGTACGGGCCGGGAGGGCTGGGGGGGGGGCTAGCAAGGAGTCGTGGGGTACGGAGGAGGTTCAGGACGGAGATTGCCGGCGAGGCAGCACGAGCACGAGCGACGGTAACCGCAGGGCCGCCGATGCAGCCGAAGCTCCCTAAGAGAACCCACCTCTTTGGGGGTTCCCTACGGGGGCGTCGGCTGTGTTGGCGACCCTCTCCCTCCCCTCTCCCGCCATCCTCTGTCATGCCTGCTGCTCCCCCTGGCTCCTCCTCTCTTCTCTCTCGATCTTCCTCCTCCTCTATCTCCCCTTCTTTCTTGTCCTCCTGTGGCTCCTCCTCGTGTCGCCCCCTCCGTCGGTCTCCCTCTCCTCAGGGGACGCCCCCCCCCCCCCCCCCCCCCACCAGGGAGGAGGAGGAGGAGGAGGAGGAGGAGGAGGAGGAGGAGGAGGGAGGAGGAGGAGGAGGAGGGGGGAAACGA